TTTTTCGCCTTCTTTTTGCCGCGGATTTATTAAAAGAATTTTCAGACATTACACGTTATTTTACGTAGCGTATCATTACAACGCAAGATAAAGCAGAAACAGCGTTGGTAACTGTTCTCCGGCTAATGTCGTATTATTAAACAAGCTAATAGATAAAATCGAGTGACAGGCTGCTTATGGACTCTTTTTATTTTTCCGAACGAACTGGTTTCGCGTTTACTACCACCGTGGGAACGCGAATTCGTCGTGCCGTTTTCACCGCGTTTCGATAATTTCTTCTTTCGACGAAGTTAATGGAATTAAACCGGTCCATTGCTCGCTTTGCTTCGAGAAATTACGGAAAAGAATGGTTTTTAAGCCTTCAAACACGTTTTTACCGCATTTCATTAATGATACGTATTTCAGTCATAAACCTCTAACGTTGCAACCTGCTTGTAAAAGAACAACGTTCACTGCCATTCACGGTTCCGTTGCTCGCTTTATACTTTTTACCAGTCTTTTAATTTGTCGTTAAATTACGAAACTGGCGACTTTTTTCTAGCGACTTTCAAAATTATTCGATGGAATTATTATATGTCAGTTTTGATTTTTTTCTCAGCGATCGAAACGAGTTGACCCATTTTAATTATCATTTTCAAAGCAGCGTCCATTTCTCGTCCCGTTAAATTACGGTGGCCGGTTTTGCCACCTTTTACGGATTCACCTTTGTCATCGTTTTAAAGAGCTAATGCTTCCATGAATTATCCTAGCGGCTATTTCCCAAGAGCGCATCGATAAAACGAAAAAGAAGAGGCGATTTCATTGAAGATCTAGTAGGTACGGAAGTCGGCACGTAATACGAGGTTGGCCCGTTTTCAGTAGAATAATCGCGGTGAACACGTAGCATTCGGTGGAAGCGAGACGTAATTACACCGTACTGCTCGAACGCAAACACTATTTAACAACGTCGAGTAATTTCTGCCTGTCCCTCCGTCTCTTTCCCGCTCGAACGCCGGCCGAGGATGTTGGCTGGTGTGATTAATGTGAAACTTCTTGCTCGCGGGCAAGGCTAAAAATTTCTTACGGGACGCATTTCCGGCAGCGCTGGACCATTCATAAACTCGTCTCTCGATATCGGCGCAACGCGACTACACTTTTACCGCCTTAACTAGTCGACCTGTTACCGCTCGAGAAAGAACGTTGATACGATCGCGGCAAAAAAGATTCGATTAAGATGTTTTGCGGAATCATTCGGAAAGTTCTTTCGAATAAAATACGACATATCGCGTAATCGTTTGAAAACTAACTCGGTATTACCCGATTGAAACTACTTTCAGAAATCTGATTATTCCGAGGCAGTATATCTTATTCTACTCGATTATTTGGCTTCGGCATCTTCGCGCTCCAGATGGGAGATCAAGCAGGGTCTGTTTAAACGAACAGTATCTGCTTGTCCGCATATTCTTTTCGAGCAGTAGACGTTATTTCTATGTAGGTGGCTATACTAGTATTCTCGCGATAATGACTTTTTTCTACGTTTCCGTTATTTCTTGAGAAGTCACCAGCGTTGTACACAGGTTGGAATAAAGTACTCGTGCCTGTGTCGAAAATACGTATAGAACGGGGGGAATATAAGGCTCGGTGAAGATTTGGAGGGTGAAGCGGATGCACCCTCGGTGAGCGACCGAACGGTAGGTCAGAGTAAACTTCGTCGCGGGCAAGAATCGTGTTGGTCCCGCGAATAGTATGTTGGCGGGCGTCGCGACGTCAGCGGCAGCGCGAGGCAAAAAAGCAGCGTCCATTTCTCGTCCCGTTAAATTACGGTGGCCGGTTTTGCCACCTTTTACGGATTCACCTTTGTCATCGTTTTAAAGAGCTAATGCTTCCATGAATTATCCTAGCGGCTATTTCCCAAGAGCGCATCGATAAAACGAAAAAGAAGAGGCGATTTCATTGAAGATCTAGTAGGTACGGAAGTCGGCACGTAATACGAGGTTGGCCCGTTTTCAGTAGAATAATCGCGGTGAACACGTAGCATTCGGTGGAAGCGAGACGTAATTACACCGTACTGCTCGAACGCAAACACTATTTAACAACGTCGAGTAATTTCTGCCTGTCCCTCCGTCTCTTTCCCGCTCGAACGCCGGCCGAGGATGTTGGCTGGTGTGATTAATGTGAAACTTCTTGCTCGCGGGCAAGGCTAAAAATTTCTTACGGGACGCATTTCCGGCAGCGCTGGACCATTCATAAACTCGTCTCTCGATATCGGCGCAACGCGACTACACTTTTACCGCCTTAACTAGTCGACCTGTTACCGCTCGAGAAAGAACGTTGATACGATCGCGGCAAAAAAGATTCGATTAAGATGTTTTGCGGAATCATTCGGAAAGTTCTTTCGAATAAAATACGACATATCGCGTAATCGTTTGAAAACTAACTCGGTATTACCCGATTGAAACTACTTTCAGAAATCTGATTATTCCGAGGCAGTATATCTTATTCTACTCGATTATTTGGCTTCGGCATCTTCGCGCTCCAGATGGGAGATCAAGCAGGGTCTGTTTAAACGAACAGTATCTGCTTGTCCGCATATTCTTTTCGAGCAGTAGACGTTATTTCTATGTAGGTGGCTATACTAGTATTCTCGCGATAATGACTTTTTTCTACGTTTCCGTTATTTCTTGAGAAGTCACCAGCGTTGTACACAGGTTGGAATAAAGTACTCGTGCCTGTGTCGAAAATACGTATAGAACGGGGGGAATATAAGGCTCGGTGAAGATTTGGAGGGTGAAGCGGATGCACCCTCGGTGAGCGACCGAACGGTAGGTCAGAGTAAACTTCGTCGCGGGCAAGAATCGTGTTGGTCCCGCGAATAGTATGTTGGCGGGCGTCGCGACGTCAGCGGCAGCGCGAGGCAAAAGGAAAAGCGCGAGTGTCGAGTCGAAGCGGCGGGGATAGCGGACAACACGGTTGAAACGTGCGGTCGTGCAGCCGCGCGGCATGAATGAACCAACGACCGACCGAATGAAGCGGGCAGCGCGTCGTCCGCTTTCGCGCATGCGCCGACTCGGCTCGTACGCTTTCCTCGAGCGGGAAAAGGACGGATCGGAGCCTCGAGAGACCTCGACGGAAGAGGATGAATGAGCGAAGAAGCGGCCGTTGAACGATGACGGACGTACGCGAGCCGTCGCGAGCGGAACGAGACGAGACGATGAAACGGGACGAAGATAAGCGAGAGAGCTGGTTCGAGCGAGACGGCCGAGGCGATCGGAGAGGGGTCGGCGAAGAGGGTGGTAGAAGAGAGACGGGAAGCGGATAGTCGTGTGCGCCGACACCAGTGTGAGTTTACCGCGTCGACGGGAGAGTATTCATTCATAAAACTAAGCGTGGAGAGCGGCTAGGCCAACGTGCACCGGGATTGGTGGGGATCGACCGAGACGACAGAGGCATACCTCTCCTCTCTCTTCGTCTTTCGCTCTGGCTTTTCGCGCTTATCGGGTTTGCCTCCTATTCTTTGTCTTCGACGGTGTCGATCTTTGGCTGCTGCATTCGCGTTTCTATATACCTGGATTCGGTGCTGTTTGAGAATCGGCGCTTGGGAGATACGACGCGCTCCGGGTGTTCGAGGTTGCGGAGTGACTCGCCAGTTGAATTACTTATTTCTCGCTCTCTTCTTTTTATATCTCTTCGGCTTTACGTTCGTACCGGAACGTGTCTCGAGGAGTTAGACTCGCCTTCGAGAAGTGCTTTATCGATGCATCGATCAAATTTTAGTCCCGATCTTTATCGTTGAACTACGGTCGGTCAAGCTTACCGCATGATTTTCAATTCGAACGTTCTAAAGAAATTTGTGAGAACGATTAAGAGGTAATTTGTAATACCTCGATTCTTTCGTATCGAGTTCGAATCGGGTGTCGAAAGATTTTATCTTGTAAGACTCTAAGTACGAAGGAAATGACTTTTCGTAATCCAGTGGAACCCCCGCAGAAATATTCGTCGAAATCGAGTATCGATTTATGCCCGATTAGCCGTCCACGTCTTTCATTCATCGAATAATTCACGCTTTTTATCGACCGAGATAATATTGGTGAGATTTCGATTACTTATCGTCGAAGGTCGCTGCTGTAAACGCGTATCGCGATAAAACTTTTCGTGATTCATTCGACTTTCGATTTATCGCTCTCTCTTTAGAAAACTCGTACTTTCTTCCAACTGGGTTCGAACTGGGTGCTTTTTCCGTACTCGTGTATCTGGCGATTTGTCGAAACTTGGAACGCGTCTTTTCGGTAATCCGTTGGCCAACCGAGGCTAAAATTAGTTGGAGATAGAAAGTATAATGTAGAGTCGATACGCTGTAGAAGTTCGTTATCTCGTGGGTTCGAGCGATTCAGCTCCACGAAGGACAAGGAATAAGCCCGCGGTACGCGTCCAGCTCCGTCGGGGTACGCTTTCCCCACCTCGACGCTTCGAATAAACTCTCTCGATCCCCTCTCGATCCTCGTCCGGTCTTCCGTCTTCCTCTTCGTTCTTCCCTCCATTCTTCCCTTCCCTCGCGTAATGCGCCACGCCGAGAAAGACAGGGAGAGAGAAAGAAAGAGAGAAGTAGCTCTTCTCTTTCTCTTCCTCTCTGGTCTCTTGCTCCGTTTCTCCGCTACCTCTTCTTCTTCATCTGGGTTCCTACCCTCGGTGTCTCTCTCTCGTTGCGTACGCACTTACCTGCGGAACGCGGTCGTACGTGCTCTCGCGACGGTGGCGCTTCGGATCCGCTCTCTTTCTCGGCCGAGATCGTGGCTCGATCCTCGATCCTTGATCTTCTTCCGAAAAATCGTCGCGATCGGTGTTTCGAGGAGTTTCGAGGAGTTACGAGGCCGCCGGTGCGCGGAGGCGGCGTCGAGTGCGCCAGTGACCCACGATCGAACCGCGGTAGCCGAAAATCGAACCAGTTTCCAGACGAAACCGGCCGAACTGGAAGCGAGTTACCGGCTAACTCGTCGAATCGGGTGTCGAAAGATTTTATCTTGTAAGACTCTAAGTACGAAGGAAATGACTTTTCGTAATCCAGTGGAACCCCCGCAGAAATATTCGTCGAAATCGAGTATCGATTTATGCCCGATTAGCCGTCCACGTCTTTCATTCATCGAATAATTCACGCTTTTTATCGACCGAGATAATATTGGTGAGATTTCGATTACTTATCGTCGAAGGTCGCTGCTGTAAACGCGTATCGCGATAAAACTTTTCGTGATTCATTCGACTTTCGATTTATCGCTCTCTCTTTAGAAAACTCGTACTTTCTTCCAACTGGGTTCGAACTGGGTGCTTTTTCCGTACTCGTGTATCTGGCGATTTGTCGAAACTTGGAACGCGTCTTTTCGGTAATCCGTTGGCCAACCGAGGCTAAAATTAGTTGGAGATAGAAAGTATAATGTAGAGTCGATACGCTGTAGAAGTTCGTTATCTCGTGGGTTCGAGCGATTCAGCTCCACGAAGGACAAGGAATAAGCCCGCGGTACGCGTCCAGCTCCGTCGGGGTACGCTTTCCCCACCTCGACGCTTCGAATAAACTCTCTCGATCCCCTCTCGATCCTCGTCCGGTCTTCCGTCTTCCTCTTCGTTCTTCCCTCCATTCTTCCCTTCCCTCGCGTAATGCGCCACGCCGAGAAAGACAGGGAGAGAGAAAGAAAGAGAGAAGTAGCTCTTCTCTTTCTCTTCCTCTCTGGTCTCTTGCTCCGTTTCTCCGCTACCTCTTCTTCTTCATCTGGGTTCCTACCCTCGGTGTCTCTCTCTCGTTGCGTACGCACTTACCTGCGGAACGCGGTCGTACGTGCTCTCGCGACGGTGGCGCTTCGGATCCGCTCTCTTTCTCGGCCGAGATCGTGGCTCGATCCTCGATCCTTGATCTTCTTCCGAAAAATCGTCGCGATCGGTGTTTCGAGGAGTTTCGAGGAGTTACGAGGCCGCCGGTGCGCGGAGGCGGCGTCGAGTGCGCCAGTGACCCACGATCGAACCGCGGTAGCCGAAAATCGAACCAGTTTCCAGACGAAACCGGCCGAACTGGAAGCGAGTTACCGGCTAACTCGGCCGTATTTTCGGTGCCAGGTTCGCGAGACGGTTCTTCGTTTCCGTTCCGGACCGCCGCTCTCCCCTCCAACTCGCTTCTTCTTCTTCTCCTTCTTCTTCTTCTTCTTCCTCTTTGGACGGTTGCGCAAGCAGGTATTCGGAAATAGCCCATGGATCGCGGTTATGAATCGATAGCGAACACATGCTGGACACGCAGCCCACGCCGGCTTCCTCGTCGAGGATTACGCGCGATTATTCGCCTCGTGCCGCGTCGTCATTCCAGCGAACGATCGTTCGAAAACGGTGTTTGTTCGATTTTCGAAGAAGAATCGCTTTCGATCGCTAGACGTTGATCGGCGATCTGTGATACTAGGAACAGTGCATCTTCGGACTTTCAGCCGTTTACTCTTCAAGGAACTGGAACATCGGAACTTTGAAAATTTTGTTATGAACGAAAGACACGTGGTACCACGGATAGAGTGTGTCTCGAAAAGAAATTGGAACTTGGAACAAATGGTCGCGAACTGAAAATCTGTGATACTAAAAATACCGTATTCGGAACTTTGAAGCACCGATTCCCCAAAGAATCGGAACCTCGAGGAACTTGTCATGGGCTGAAGGGACCTGTCCAGCTACGTATAGTGCACCGTATGACTTTCAAGGCCATGCTGCAGAGAAAGTCGTGAATTGGTCCAACTCGAAGTCCATCTACGACCCTAAATTTGGATCGTAAAACTCATCTTGGAAGAATTCGACCTCGGGAGAAAAGATACCGTGATCTATCCAGTTCGGATCCGAATGACAGGGCGTCTAACGCGTGCGAAATCGTGGACGCGTTGTCGTCGCGCTGCGTGATCGAGGACCCCCAAAGGTCCTAGCATGGGATAGAAAGATTCGAACGACGCCTCGGTCGTGACGATCGAAACTCGATCGATGGCTGAACGGAAATTTCGAAGCGTTGTTCGTGCACGCTCGAACCGAAGTGATGTAATAGGTGGCGCGAAATCGAGCGAATGACAGTGATCCGAGGGATTCGTGTATGTACAGCGAGCACTCGAGGACGGCACTCATGTACGTCGACTACAGCGGCGACGTTTATGCCGGAATGGGAATCAAGGCCATGAAGTCCTTTGCCAGGCCCAGAGGTATGAAACCACGTGACTTTACACGCATACACACACGGCTATTCTTTTGTTCGCGAAACATTTCGCGTTTGCCGTTCGACGTTGTCGCCTTTTGCTCGATGTTTGCCGACACGACAGTAACTCTTCGAGTTTGAGCGTAGTACTACGCGTCGCCGAGAACGCCGTCTCTTTTGTTGACACAGTTGGTTCGAACGCTTTCGGTGTTGAGGTGGTTACGATATTTTGCCTCGACCAGTCACTTTTTATATACATATATGTATCGCTCGAACGTAGTACTACGCGTTACTTTGCGAATCAGGGTTAACCCTTTCACGTTATAATAGCGTGAACGCTTTCGACCAAATATCGAAACGTTTCTATTCTACCGACCGGTTAACGCTATAATTACTCGTATTCGATGCACGCTTTTAGCGTCGAAAAAATAAAAGGTCGAAGCGACAAATCTGACGCCTATCTTGATCGATAGTTCTGCTGTCAGAATGTTTACGAACATTCTATCATCTTGTATGTACATGTGTACATATCATTAATTACGTACTAAAGAACGAGTACCGGATCCGATATATCAGCGAATCTAATTAATAATTTCAGTTTTTGCGACGATAAAACGTCGTCGATCGAGATATCCGCTTATCGATAATTTCAGCGAAAGGAAAATAAAACACTCCTATCCGACTTTCTTTCTCGAGACGATCAAACAATCCGTCTAATATCGCGGTTTATGAATGAAAACTCGTTTGCTTCCGTTCGAAAAAGTAACGTACGATCGTACCACGCGAGTTCATTGATAGTTAACGCTGTCTTTGAGAACAGGAATACGCGTGATCGATTACTCGGTAGTGTTTGTAGCGGATTAACGCGAACGTGACTTTGGAGGCAGATAGATCGTGACAGATGTCAGGGATGCCGCACGAGTGCAACCTGCATCCCGGTTGCATATGCGCTTCCTGCAGTTGGTAGGACTCCGTAGTCGGGGACGGAAGGGGCGAAAGAGGAAGAGGTTTGTTCCAGAACTGGGTGACCTCTGACCGTGACACTCTTCCTTCGCTCGAGAAGCACGAGCCATTTCTCTTTGCTCGCTAAATGTTGGACCGAAGTTTTAGAAATACTTTCTTACAATTTATCTCGTTTTCTAATTATTCTATAATCAAAGTTTGGGAATTTGATCGAATGGCTAAGCTTCCTCGTTCCTTATTGATTTCATATACACTCCTCGATCGTATTTCTCCGTTCTGGTGTTTCAAGAGCAAGTCCAGCAGCGAAAGCTTTTTAACACTAAAACTACCAAACCGGTCAAATGACCGCTCCACAAGTTTCTTATTATAAGACACATCTTGTTAAAATACATTTCTCGAAATCAGCATTGATTTTCATCAAAATAAAGAATAAATGTGTGCACTACTTTATGTTTCGTCGTTTGTTCATTTATTTTTTAACATCATTTTTAATTTCAAATTAGGTATACATTATATGCCGATAGGTTTAGTGTTAAAAGCGACTAAAGAGAGTAAAAAGGAAAGTAAAAGAGATGGAATTAATACCGACAACGTTCAAAGGTGTCGCAACGAGTGGCGCAGCGGTTATTTTACACCGAAAGTTGTGCTTAATGATAAATCTGACGGATGGATTACAGAGGAGCGTGCACGGGTAAAGGATATCTCGAGTCTCGAGCGCAGCGAGCTATCCAAGAGGATGCTGCCGGTTGCTTCCTGGCAACCGGTTCCAGCGAATGGCTTTTGATCCGTTTTGTTCATGTAGATATCACCGAGTCGAAGACGGATTCGAGTGGAACGCGTTTAATCTTTTTCGTGATTCACGCCAGCTTCTTTACTTTCCAGCGGAATTTGATCGAACGACTTGCTCTCTGCCGCGATTTAATCGAACCTTTCGATCGAAACCAGATTATTTCTTCCTCGGACTGGATTCTAATTCAACTTGTCTCTTTTCTATTATGTTTTAACCTACTGCGCGTTCTTACTACGCGTTGGATCACCGCGCGTTGTATTACCACAAATTATATTATCGCTCAGTGAATCGCCACGCGTTGTATTATTACGCGTTGTGCTACCAACCGATTAATTGTAGCACGTTCTGTTATCACGCGTAGCACTATCGAGCGTTGGATCGTTACGCGTTGTATTGCCGCGAATTATATTATCACTCGCCGAATTACCACGCGTTGTATCGCCAGCAGTATTCTAATAAGCGCTGCTTTACCAAGCGTTCATATCCCCACGCGTTGTATTGCCGCGAATTATATTATCACTCGCCGAATTACCACGCGTTGTATCGCCAGCAGTATTCTAATAAGCGCTGCTTTACCAAGCGTTCATATCCCCACGCGTTGTATTGCCGCGAATTATATTATCACTCGCCGAATTACCACGCGTTGTATCGCCAGCAGTATTCTAATAAGCGCTGCTTTACCAAGCGTTCATATCCCCACGCGTTGTATTGCCGCGAATTATATTATCACTCGCCGAATTACCACGCGTTGTATCGCCAGCAGTATTCTAATAAGCGCTGCTTTACCAAGCGTTCATATCCCCACGCGTTGTATTGCCGCGAATTATATTATCACTCGCCGAATTACCACGCGTTGTATCGCCAGCAGTATTCTAATAAGCGCTGCTTTACCAAGCGTTCATATCCCCACGCGTTGTATTGCCGCGAATTATATTATCACTCGCCGAATTACCACGCGTTGTATCGCCAGCAGTATTCTAATAAGCGCTGCTTTACCAAGCGTTCATATCCCCACGCGTTGTATTGCCGCGAATTATATTATCACTCGCCGAATTACCACGCGTTGTATCGCCAGCAGTATTCTAATAAGCGCTGCTTTACCAAGCGTTCATATCCCCACGCGTTCTATCACTTATTTGTATTTTCATAATAAAATCAAATAACGCGATTACCGATAAAGCGATAAAATTGATTTTTAAATCGTAGATCCAAGAAGTTACAAGCAGAAAAAATGGACGGTCGTCGAGTGGCAAGAGCTACCGGTTTCGCCAATATTATTGATCGAAAACGAGCAGCAAAGATCATTACTTTCTCATTTCGCGTCGTTATTAATTGACGAGGTCGCCGGTTTTCGAGCCGGGTAATTGAACGAAGGGAAATTGCACGGGCACCGTGGAATCGCGATAAAGCAGCTACGACGACGTAAGGCTCGATCATTTTTTGCTTCGATTCTCGTTATCCGAGTCTACGATCGTTCTTGCGATCGAAACAAGATCGCGACCGATCGAATCGAATTGCTTTGCTCGAATTAGCATGGAGCTTTTTAGACACCGCTGTTTAATGTATCACGTATGTTCGATTACGCCGAGGAAGATACAAGACCGATAGTCTTGGATGTCCTCTGACGGCTTCTTATTTTACATCGACGTTACTTACAATTTTCTTCTCTTTTTGATTATTCAATTACGTTGAACGCATTCAACTTCTGATATACCAAAATTATTTGGTCATTCGATATGCGACAGTCGAATAAATTTGTCGATAAATAAAAATTTCGACAATTCGATGGGTACGCTAAGTAGCTACAAATTTGCATTGACTTCTACTTTTAATCTTTAATAACCCTTTCGGAAACTCGATCATCTCGAAATCAAAGACTCGTCTCCCGTTCCTTTTTCCTGGATTTCTTGTCTTATCTCGTTCCCAGGTTTAAGAGCACGAGGTTTGTTAATTAGCGAGTCGCTTAATGTCCGATGGCGATAGGATTTTCTCCAGGAAAAAAGCTTGTCCGCGAACGATAGCCGATAATCGAGCGTTTTATCGGTTGAAACAGCAGCGAGAGGAGCAACCGGCTAATCAACCGTGCCGCGATAATTGTCCACTCCGTGATCGTACGGGGAAATGTCGTGGTATGTTTCTTATTTACACGCACACTCGAAGAGCGTCGAAAAGCTGGTTAGGTTAGGTGGACAAATCTCCGTCGAAGCGGGTCAGGAAGTTGACTGGGCAAGCGTCGACATTATCACGGGACACACGCCGGTTGTGCGATATCTCGGTGAAACACGCGGTTTCTTGATAATCGGATGCCGCTAACAACGCCACTTGTTGCTACCAACGAAAGAAGACCCTTTTTCCATTCGTTAATTCTTTACGGTTCTCGTGGATCGATCGCGTCCAGTCTGCAGGGTACGAACTTTTGTCCACAGTTTCAGTCGAGATTTAACTTTGACACCCTACTTGGACGTTAATGCGAATTTCGAAGACGTAACAATTTATCGCGGTTAATGCGGAATCAAAGTTATGTCACGTTTCTGATTATCTGTAAGGAAACATTGCAACGATATCTCCTTAAAGATAAATCGAGAAGCGAGAAGGCAGAAAGAATCCAGGACCACGGTAATCCTGGTTGCGGTGTCATAGGCGACCACTGGGCTTGATAAGTCCTTGTATCGCGGCGATTCGATAAGCACGATGCTAACGAGCAGTGGTGACGTATTGTTAGACCATGATTATCGCGAAACCGCGTGTTTCGACGCGATAACAACAGACAGAACGAGTTAATAATTGGTTCGCTCCTAGTCGGGGAAAGTACGAAACCCTTCAACGTCTTAATAATCTTTAATTATCGGTATGATGACCGTTAAAGCGTTGCAATGGACGCAATCCGTTCTCGTTCAACGGAAACCACAGAAAATACTGTAATTCCTCGACTATGAAACAAAATCTTAACTCTGCAAACCTGTGGGATGGGAAAGTACTCTGCGTAGATCTTATGAATGTCTGTCGAATTTTTTCGTTTCTGTAGGCAATTGATATTGACGGTTTTCTCTGGGGAAGCAGTCTAAACGTGGAAATAAAATTTCCGAGCGCCGAGAAGTGGTGAACGCCACATGTTCGTATGACAGGTATCGAAGATAGCGAAGGAAAAACATTGTATCGGGTTAGCAGCGATCAGTGACGATGACTTTTAAGCATGCGAACGGGGGCGTGGTTGGAAAGACCATCAGAATCAGTGGGCACCGCGTGCAAACAAA